GTTTAGAGCCGCCTTAAGTAAAATTTAATGAACTTACTGCTGCGTTACTGAAAAAGAAATTGCGTTACAGTAATTTTTAATATGCGTTACGTCTTACGTTAGTACGTTACTACCCAACACTGGCTAGATATCATTGCGTATGAAATGTTTCTAACTTCCATTCATTTCTCACCATTGTAGCGATAGGTATGAATATCTGATTATGTAGTGCGTAGTACACTAGTACTTACTGGCTGGGGTAGATACACATTTTCGGTAACATAATGTAAATATAATTATTGTAGTTTTAAGGGGATTGGAAGCGGTGATTTAATAAGGGGCCGTCGTAATTTGTCGTCAAGTCTTCTTCTGTTTCAGAATTCTCATCACCTCACTAGATTAATCGGTACGTTGGAAATAGAACACGTCTATAATCCTATGTTGCACGTGTGTTAGACAAAGACAGAAAATCGCCGCTTCCAATCCCCTTAAAGATAAATTAATAATATCAGTCATAATTAATGATATGCTATTGCCTAGTATGTATATTATGTTATAAACTTGTAAAAACACACAATATTTGGCACATAATACTGATCTTTATTTTATAATTAACTAGACTTTTAAACACATACTCGAGAACCATCACATCCGTCGCTTGGATCGATACTGATCGGTCGCGTACAGTGGTCCCTACTGCCTATCTCCTTATCATAATATACATATTGATAACAGTTGGTACTATATTTAATATTTTGTGAAAAACAATTAGTCTGTATGAGGGATAGCTTCACATCACCCTTGCACTCACGTGTGAACGCCTATATGAACATCACAGATTTCTGGGGTTGTATCGATTTCACGTTTTAGTTTCAATTCCACCGGACATATTTTGTATCTATAGGTAATATATTATGTTGATTGTAAGATTCCACCGGCTTATATTACGGCTAATATAAAAATACTTAATAAAATAATATAACTCAAGTCAAGTTAGCTAAGATATACCTACAAGTTACTCTATATACGTTGTATTGTATTTTATTATTTCTAAACCTGTTGTTAAAAAAAAAAAAACAAATATTTTGTGTAAATCATTTTACATTTACTATTTTATTTACCATTAAAAACTATGCTATTCTTAATACATTTTGTATAATGAATGATGAAATGTTTTGCCTGACCGATAAAGTGGCGGCCATCCACAGCTGAGCTTCTCTTGATAACGCTGTAAATTATATATAAATTCCTTATCTATAGTGTACCTAGTGGCTAGTATTATAGAAGTCTGTGGTTGAATCATAGAACTTATACCATAGAGTAATATAGAGGCAGTTTTACCTATTCAAACTGTATTACCAGGCTGATGCCAAACTAGCGGTCATTAACCTTAATCATGAGTCCAATATTTATGATATATAACCGCTAGATGGCAGTGTTAAAATATAAAAAACATGATAACAGCGTTGTTATCACTCCCGGAGAACTGGGGTATTACCACAGAACAATATAGAAGCGAAACTCGATCGAAAAATATACAAATTAAATTTGGATGTTACACGTGACGGTAAAATGTATAGTTGACCGTGAGAAAAACATTAAACGCTTAGGTCAATTCCAGCAGCATTAAGTGTTTGGGCCTGTGCTTTATTTATAGTCATTATAAATGCTAATTTAAGGGGAAATTGAATACGTTTAAACTGAAAAGGTAAATCTGAGGGTATAATTGGTATTCTTTCTATTAAAACAGTTTTTTCAGTACCATAGCCCGTTAAGATTATGGACTCGAACAATGAACTTCTCAATTTTTTGATTTGTAGTCTTGTACCGTTTGCAAAGCGTGGATGCTGGCTCAAATTTCTCATTAAAATAATACTTGCCCCTATTTTTAAACTCAGTTTATGTGGTGGGACTCCAGAAGGCGTTAAAGAGTTAAGAAATTCAGTTGGGAAATGGACGCATCTTCCTTTTCTAAAACTGTATCAACTGAATATTACATTTGTGATTGTGCGTCAAACCTATAGATAGAATCAAATCATTTAATTTGTCGACTTGCTTATTTTTTGGTGACAAAATAGCCCTTTTTCGAAACCATTGCTGTAAATTAGAAGATATATTTTGAATGTTAGTAAAATTAAATGTTAGAATCAATTTTATTATAGTGGGGGCAGAATTACAGACACTTTTAATATTAATTTTATCATTCGTTGCTTGAAACTCGCCATTGCCTATTAAAAGTAAATCTTTGTCAAAATGTATATTATCTTGACCGGTACATAGCACTCTCATATTAGTTTTAAGTTCTAATACTTTTATATACGTCTATAAGTAGGATCTTTTCAAAGACGAGTTGACTTCATCAGCTCTTGTCCCTCTTGTAATCACAGGCAAGATCTGACGGAAGTCTCCAGAGAACAACACCGCACAGCCACCCATAGGACTATTATTATGACTCGCATTGTCTAGCATTGTTCTATATAAAGCTTCAACTGAAATTTTTTGGGACATTGACACTTCGTCCCAAATAACTAGACTACAGTCCTGCATCAATTTACCAGTATCGCTTTGCTTTGAAACGTTACAGACACTTGTAGCATCGTCACTATCATATTTCAAAGGAAGTTTAAATGTAGAATGAGCTGTTCGGCCCGCTAATAATAACGTATCCGCAATGCCAGATGATGCTACCGAAAGAGCAATTTTTCCAAGGCTGGGAAAGTTAATGATTTTTTTAACTCAGTTAAGTTAAGTTAATATGCACCAATAACAAAAAATTAGAAGTTAAAAGTTAATTTAACTATAGTTTAACTCAGTTAAGTTAAAAGTTAATACACACTTTTTTTAAAACTTTTTATTAAGTTAAAAGAAAGGTATTTTGTTTGTACAACACTAGCTTACTTCATTTTATTCCAACACAAAACTAAATTATAGACTATAGTGTTTATACTTTATACAGTATTTCCATATAAGTTAAATTCGAATGATACAAATTTTTAACTTGAATCAATTCACAGTAAATATTTTTGGACATGAAAACGATAGACTGAAATAGTGAAATTTAATAAAGTTAAAAACAAAATAAATTAATGAACTTATTTCTTAAAATGAAAAATGAATTCGTTAATTTCGCGTTAATTAAAAAAGACATTTAGTCAGTTAACAGTTAAATTAAAAAGCTAAAATAAAATTAACTTTTTAACTTAACTCTAACTTTGTAACTCGTTAATTCCCAGCCTTAAATTTTTCCACTATATCTTACTTTTGCAAAAAGTAAACTGATCAAAAAAGTTTTACCCGTGCCCCTAGGAGCATCTAAAAATAATATTTTGCCTTCATTATTGTTAATAGACAACAACACTGAATCATATACAATTCTTTGTTCATGGCTTAATTGATTTTCATTTTGAACGGACAGTAATAGTTGGTATTGATCATAATTTTTGTCTCTTAAACACTCAATATTAATTGTTGACCTATTTATGCTTATCGGTAAAGGAAAACCAAAATGTACTATAGATTTTCTCGATAAGACTTCCACTTCTTTGTTTAATTCAAATATTGTACCATAAATTTTTTTTATGTACTGTTGTCATGAATGGCCTGGTGATACCCCAGAGTTCTCCCGGAGTGATAAGAACGTTGGTATCATGTTTTTGACATTTGAACACTGCCATCTAGCGGTATATAGCATAGTCGATGGGGGAGTAATTAGGGCCAATGACCGCTAGTTTGTTATCAGTCCGATAATACCACAGAACAATACAGAAGCGACACTCTGCTTGGTGGTCGATCTAGGAGCGTCTAAACACTGGAATGGTGCAATGATTGTACGCATGCGCGCGTGAACAAATAATTCAACAACGATTATACGCATGGTGTGATAACCGGTATTTGATTATCAGTTATATAACATAATAGGGCCAAAAGCCGTTCTCTTACAAATGATAAGGGGAAAAAAAAAATAATAATCTCATACCAACATTACCAACCGATAAAAATGTCAATGTTCAAAATAATAATTTAATATCAGTTTTAGGGCCAGCCTGTAGTAAATGTACTTTTTTATTAATGTATTAACTTAGATCATATACTAGAATACTAGTATATGATCTAAGTGTATTAATGTATCAATTGTATCATCTTTATTATCTATGGTATTAATGTACTTTTCTCTAACACCTGTTGATTAATCTAATGAGTAATTAGGATTAATTAATTAAAATTAAAATTCAACCGCCAAATTACAAAAAAATGGCGAAACAGAAATCCAATACTTATATCTATAATAATGACTAACGACCACGATTAAAGTTATCTTTAATCGTGCTAATAACTAATGAGATATTATTATAATTATTTGGGACTTGGGTTTATTTTTGAACTTATAAATAAACTATAGAGTATTTTTAAACGCATAAACAAGATTATTCCAATACAACAATAATAACTGAACATTGCATGAATGATGAATGTTTTGTGGCATTTCATACCAATTATGACACTAATTAACAGTTATAACATTTAAATAATATTATGTCTTGCATTAAATAATATCTTTATAGAAAAATTATACAATATTGCAATTATTGCATTATTGTTACTTACTGCTTAGTAGTTAGTACTTTGTAATATTTTTATATGATCGAAACTTTAACAATAATAGAATTTATGATAATGTTGGTAATGTCTTTATGGTACATAATGGTACAGGGAATTTATGTTTTAGTATTGGTAAACATGATCCGATAAATTTTTTCTTTTTTTTTCCGAGTTCTTATCAGCTGTAAGAGAACGGCTACACACTCAACATAATAAGAGCGGTAACAAATTTGTACAATGTAATCTCATTACATATTAAGTTAATAGTTAAAAGCTTATAAATAATGATTTGAGGGGTTTTTTTATCATAAAAGGCATGGCTATCATAGAATAAAAATAAAAATATCCGACTAATTTAAAACTAGCCAGTCCTAGTCCAATATTAAACTCTTTTAAACATTTTTTTTTTTAATTTTTATAAAATGAATTTTAATTGTGAAATTTGTCAAATTGGATTCTCAACAAAGTTTTCATTAAATAGACATCAAAAAAGTTTAAAATGTCAATCTGGTGAAATCAAGTTAAAATTGTCTCAGTGTAATGATTGTGATATTAATTTTTCGAAGAAGACATTGCTGATAGATCATTTAAATAAGGTCCATGGACTATCTATAAATAAACAAATAATAGAATTTTAAAATGTATTAGGTAAGTTTAATTATATAATTTAGGAAAGTTAGCCATTTTTAAATATGTGGAAAACAATATGGTACTTACATCTTAGCATATTATTATTTTAACATTTTAGAATTTCAAGCCTGGAAAAGAGATTATGAACTAAAAAATGATATTGAATACATTCAAAATACAGGCCAAAAAAAAATGTAAAGATGGTCAAAGATATTATTATGAATGCTGCAGAACAGGTTTCCATAAAGAAGGAGAGAACTCAAAACGAATGATTAAAACACAGAGCAGTAAAAAAAACTAATCAAAATTGTACGAGCCACATAATACTATTTGAGTCATTTGAAGGTAAATGTGAAGTCACTTTTTATAAAGAACATTATGGACACAAAGAAATCGAACTTCAACATGTAAAAATACCAGATATTAAAAAACATGAAATTGCTGCTAAGTTATCACAGAGTGTCACATTTAAAAGGGTATTAGATGATGTTAGAGAAAATATAGGAAATAGTTTGAAAAGAGAAGATTTAATAACACTGTCTGATCTCCATAATATTAAACAAAAGTATAATTTAAATTTAAAAGATGGTCAATTCCATAAGAGTGATGCCACAAGTGTTGACATGTGGGTTGAACAAATGAAAAAAGAAAAAGAGAACAACTGTGTAATTTACTATAAAAGACAAGGTAGATTATACGTTTTAATGAATTTCATATATTATTTAGAAAAATACTTTTATTATTATTAAACAATTACCAACTACACTTTATAGTTTATTTTAACTAAAATCTTAAACAAATAAACAATTTTTTTTAAAAATATTTCAGGTGAGGTCGATGACAAAGGCATGCTTGATTTAAAAGATGTTTGTATAATTTTAATGGATCCCGGACAGAAATATATGTTACACACATTTGGACAGCAAAAAATTGTATGCATTGATGGAACTCACGGACTTAATGGTTATGATTTTGAATTAGTAACATTAATGGTTGTTGATGATTTTGGCTCAGGTTTTCTGTGTTGCTTTACGTTTACAAATTTAAAAGATACCAATATATATACTATAATGTTCTCAGCTATTAAAGATGTTATAGGTATAATACAACCACAAACATTCATGTCTGATATTGTTGAAACATTTTACTTCGCATGGGAAAATATCATGGGGCCGGTCCCTCATCGAATTTTATGTTCATGGCATGTTGACAAGGCTTGGCGACAAAATTTAACGAAGATTATTGGTTCTCAGAGTAAAGAAAAGCAATCTACAGTATACAAATCTTTGAAAGTTCTTCAAACAATGACTTCTGAAACAGAATTGAATCAGAGTTTAAAGGAATTTAGTAATGTAATGAAAAATGACCCTGATACTAAGGAATTTGGACTATACTTTGACAGAACATATGGAAATAGAACTACTTTATGGGCTTATTGTTATAGAAAAGGCTTAGGAATCAACTGCAATATGCATTTAGAATCTATGCATAAATCGATAAAATATCATTATTTAAACGGTTGTAAAGTTGGACGCTTAGACAAAAGTATATTAATAATACGACGGTATACTAGGGATAAAAAAGTTGAAAGGATGGTGAAATTGACTAAGGGTAAATCCACCACTAGAATCCAAGAGATTAAAAAAAGACACATCAAAAGCATTACAATGAATCTTAAAATTAACTTTGATAATAATAATACCTGGAATGTGGAGAGTGAAAATGTACCAAATCAATTATACATTGTAAAACAAGTGAATAATGAAATATGTTGTGCCATGGTTTGCTCTGCATGTAAGATATGTATTCATACATTTGAATATTCATGTTTAGATTATTCAATTAAGTCTATAATTTGTAAACATATCCACTTTATTGCCTTAAATATAATTGAATCAGAAAATAAATTACTTGAAGATCTTACAACACATCCTACACAAGAAACAGATGCAGATGTCACAGTGACTTCAACCAAAACAAACAAACAATCTGAAACTGAAGAGTTAGAAGTTCACATGAAGACTTTGGGTAATCCTAAAAAAGATGAAAATATATACGCTAAATTTAAAGAAAAAGCCACAAGTATGATAAATAAAATTACCTCTATCCAAAATCCAGATCATCTTAAGGTGGCCATGCAAAAGTTAGAAGCCCTTGATGCTTTTATTGATGTGACATCAAAAGAAACAGCAACTGGCACAGAGTTCATTAAGACCAACAGTGATCCTTCAAATAAAAAAATAATAACACAAACCAACTTTTACTCAACTAAAAACAAAAGACGAAAAATCGAAAATGATTTGACAAAACCTTCCAGACTTGAAACCCGAGATTTAAGTGATTTGTTTTTAAATAAGAAGTTGAATGTCTTAAAAGAACAAGATATTGAACATTCATATTTTAAAGAACATTAGATTCTTTATTTCATTCATTCACCTAACTATTGATGTACAAATTATTAATTATTATTCTTGTATATAGGTACCTACTTTGTGTTTTTAATTATTCTAAGCTTGTAACAATAATTGTTAATGACTACTAACTATTAGTTTGTTCTTTGATATTATTTAATTTTTAAATATTTTGATAACTGATAAGGCAGTACCGTACAATCATTGTTGAATTATTTGTTCACGAGTGCGTGCGTACAATCATTGCACCATTCCTAGTGTGTTTAGACCATAGACCTATAAACTAATGGACAGCGCTTAGAGAGAGAGGTCAGGGGTACGATATACAGTATTAGTTTCATACGTCTATGATTTCCCCTATTATGTTTTTTCTCTCTTTCTCTTATATGATTGTCCACCAGGATTCCCCCAATATGTTCTTTCTCACTCACTCTATATTGGCGCCACTCATTGATGGGTGGGTGGTGAGTGAGGTGCAGTCCATTAGCTTATAGGTCTATGGTTTAGACGCGATTCCTGTCGATCTCTGGTGGTTTAGTGTTGAAGTTGTAAATGATTACCTGGTGGTTTAGGAGTGTTGTTATGAACGATTTTTTTTTACAATAAACGGTTTGTTGTTTGTTTGCGTTTTAATACTATAAGTTATAACCTAACCGTTCTATGCCTATATGGCTTACGGCTACCTAACAACAACTATTAACTTATAATTTTTCGCATTTCACGTTCGACATAAATTATAAATTATAATCACAGAACATTATAATATAATTTATTATCATTTCTGTGTTATCATAATGGTATCAAGTATCAACTATCAATTATTGAAATATATGATATGAGCCGTCAGCTGATTCTCATAAATAACAAAATGGCAGAGCCCATGAGTTCAAGGCCGTGTCCCCACTTTTTTCAAATAGCATTAGGAATTGTGAGAGTGTCGTACCCCTGATAAATAAATAGTAATATAATATTATATATATTGTTCTGTGATAATACAGTTTGAATAGGGAACGCCGCCTCTATATTACTCATAGACATTATACCCATAGACGGAGCATGATAGTAGTTCCCGCGGTGAGAGTAGGGTACCTTGCACATGTTGTTAAAATACGCTAGAACAAACCAGGTTGTGTTCATATAGTAAAATTTATCGTATCGTAATATAAAGTAGTATGTATCATAGATATTAATATTCTATGTATAATACTTATATTAGAACAGTTTATACTTGTATTAGAACAATTATTTTAAATTATAAAATATTATTAGTATTATATAGTATAATTTATAAAATTTTATAATATAATATGGTAAGTGTTAAAAACAAATGTTTTTATCGCAAGGAATGGCGTCACTGTTGGAACGTTATGAATCACCGCACTGCCTGGATGCTCCGTCTATGAGTATGAGGTCTATGCTATTAACTAAGTTAAATTAGTTATAGGATATCTCATTCAACCCATAGATCTTATACTCATTGACGGAGCATCCAGGACATAGAATAATATCATAGACCTATAACCAAGGTGGATGAGATGGGGGTCGTTCTCCGACAAACATAAATTTGATAACATAATGTAACCTCAAACATTTTCCAATACCAACATAATTTGAATTAAATTGATATTAGGGAAATGTTGTACCAATCATACCGCCGTACTTGTCGGAGTATCGGACTATTATTGCTTAAAATATATTAGAACAGTGCACAATTAAAAATAAATCAATTGTGTTCTTGTAGAATTAAAGACTATAAGATTTGGTAAAATAAATAATTTCATATTGTTGCTTGACATTATACTGAGTTAATGTATTGTCGTATGACAACATACCCAATAATTATTAAGCGATAACACGTTTTATAAGTAAAGTTGTATTTTAGAATCATCGTGTAGCGATGAATTTATTGGTTTTACAGTGATTATGTGTGTTTTATTGTCAATAAGCTTAATTTTAAAAATTTTTATTACCTAATACTATAATTATTATTATTAACATTTAACATACTAACATATTATTATGACAATTTTATTGTATTATTTATGGTTATATTTTTTAACAATTGAATTACCTATTTATTTTATATTATTACATTTTTCAATATTTATTGAATAACACGTTTTATAAGTTGTTCGATGATTATGTACTATAATACCTTACCGTAGAAAAAAAACTTCATAAGTTACTTGATACTTGCAAATACTGTAAATGATTGACACTTTACAGTATTTGATACTTGTTAGTACTTTCAGCTTTGATATTTGTAGGTTGTAGTGTTGATATGTTGTACACATAGTTTTTTTTCATTAATAGTTTTATAAAAATAAGTTTTGATATTTAGTTCTTACAGTTGGTCACCCTGACTGTCGGAGTAAAAATTGGTTGTTATCATTTGTCGGAGAACGGCCCTCGTCCGGGGTTGAATAACCTGTATATCTTAAATCATGATCGTGATTATCACCAAGAAAAGATGTGTAACAGTGCTTCAAAATTATCGTTTTTTCCATACAATAACTACACCGTACTAATATTATGATCACGGTGAGTTAAATCAAACATTTTTCAAATCCATTATAAAATAAACGAAATAAGTCAACATTCTAATATGTTATATTTTTATACTACCCTAATTTGATACACTGTAGCAACGTTGTTAAGGTACCTTGTACTTGGTAGTATTTTACACATGACAACATATGAGATTATCTGCCTATTAATTAGTACTTACACCTGACACCTGCTGTTATACAGTTAGTGTGTTTAATATGTTATAAGTTTAAATATTAACTGGCAGTTAGGGAAAGTAATTAATAGTTTTTAAAAACCTAATCGTCATTACGCCTGATTATAAGCCAGCCGAATGGATAAAAATTGCATAGGGCCTAATATAGTGTTTTTACAAACAGAATCATTTCTCATATAAAATCATGGAACTGTAGAATCATAGTCCACGATTTGTAATATATATTATTTAAATAAAAATTAAACAATATACAACAGGTCATTTCCCATAGTAATGTGTCAACTTTTTTTTTTTCATGACCTTTGACTGGCCCGGATGTTTAAATGACAGTTCAAGAATTTGAAAAGTCTTATATAGCAACGAAAAAAGCATATGATGAAGTAATAAATTATGAAAATCAGCCGTCATATCAAAAATTGATTACAAATACACAACCTAAAGAAGATGCAATAAACGATTACCTAAAAAATCAAATGCCTGAAATCTCAGAGGAAAAATTTCCAAGTGGTAGTTTAAACATATTTATAATTTATTTGTTCTTAATAAGATTTCATAATATTTATTTTGAGCATATTTTACTAATTATACAGTCATATGAAGTGTATACGCAATGTTATCCAGAGTAAATTAAAAGTACTTGTGTTGCATGGGGAACCGACTAATTAACAAAATTCCATAATATTTACAAAATTAGGTACGGCATAGAGAAACACAAAACAGTAGAAAAGCAATATTTCATAGAACTTTTGTTACTACTTATCAACCATACTATACCTATACTATACTCTGTTCCACCTAAGAGTGAACCGCTATCGCGCACGTAGACTGATCCGCCGAACAGTGCCTGACCAGTGACCACCCATGCGATGGCTATGCGTCCTGTGATTGGCGGACAGTCATCGCCGGCCGGCGAGAGCCCGTGTTAAAACTCTCACCGATGTCCGGATTGTGGTGGGAATACGTGTTTTGGTCAGCCGAGTGGTTTATTCTTAGATGGAATAGAGTATACTTTATGAAAATATAACAGCCAATTTTACAGATATTATTTTTCTATAGAAGTTTATCGCACAAACAACGAAAATGTATAACATATTATTATTTAGCAATACATTTAAGACTATTATAATGATTAATCAGAACCTTTAAAAACATGAGTTCTAATCTCCCAGTTATCAGTGATACTTAAAATAAAAATTAGGAGTACTAGGAATTATTTTTAAAAAAATAATTATACTCTCATACTCCATAGTTCAAGTTGGCATAATGGCATGTCTTAGGGAGGCTGGGTCCACGCTTTAGATTTATATCTTCATGTTTTATATATATAAACACATCATAAGTCAATGATCGATTATTAACGTATACCTACTCAGTACTCGACTAAAATCAAATTTAATTTATGCGTTTCTAACAGCATATTGTGAAGAACATAATATCAGATACATGTATAAAAATTATGAAGTTTACGCTGATCCAACAGATGAGGTTTATTACAGTAAGTAAAATCCTCTAATATTTACATGTGTACATAAATAAACTAAATATACTTAAGAATAATTATGAATTGCATAATCACTGTACTATATTACATTATTTTTACTTGACATCTGAATTTCTAGTGACCGTAATTAGGGACCATAATATACATTCACCATGAAAAATAGAGTTTTGGTATTTTTAATATTAGTTATTGTTATTGACATTTATTTAACCTTATTTAACCAACATTCTCCCAAACTAAAGCCGGGTTCATAACTTCCAATGTCGTGTCTTGTCGAATTTTTATCTGTATATTAAAATGCAATACCAATGATATGAATATTGTACCTACCTGACCATTTTATTGTTTTTTTTTTAGTTATTATTTGTCTGCACAAATCTGTAATTACCACGATTAAAAATATAGGTACCGGAGGGGGGGGGTGGCATACGTGAAATAGGGTATGGTAAATAAGCCGACCCCTCGTAGAGTATCCCACCTAAGTTCCAGTAAAAGTGTACATAATATTACTAAACGTTCCCATGTTTTTCGGAGGTTCAGAGTTCAGATCATTGGTAAACAAGACCAAAATCAGCTGATCGCTTCTTTATTATTCTGTGACGTACGAAGAAAATGTGGTAGCTGACTTCGTGTGCTTCACTCGTAGCCAACATTTTTGGGTGTTACTCGAAGAGAGATGGTTGATGATGAGGAAGAGAGACAACACATTGAGTTTATTATGAATGTGTTTATTATTAAACCGAAAGAGAAGAATATGAAAATTTTTGTGAAATTAAGGAGTAGGTTGTGCTGCGGTGGTAACGACGGTGTAGTCTCCGAGGCCGAACAATGTCGGCGAAGGTGGAGAGTGACGTTGCGTCTCGGTACCGGTCGTTGGGAGACCAAAAAATTCACGATGTGCGCGACGGCATCGTTGTCATGTCGATCGTAGTCCGGCTGACGTTGAATTGAGTCCCAAATATTGAATTGAGTCCCGCAAATATTTTTGGGTTATCGGAGTTGAGTCCGACCGATATTGTTTGGTTATTCGAGTTGAGTCCCTTCAGCCTATTAGCGTTACCCAGGAGACACCACGTGGAGGTTGGCTGTGTAGTCTCCCAGAAATGTGTGTTTGCTTAAACTAATTTTTTTTAAAAATAATAATAGTTATGGATCATAAAATAATGTTAATAATTATATACTGGCTGGTAAAAATTTAAATGATACAGATTTTAAAAAATCAAATCTGCAAATTTGTTTATTTATGTATTTATTTGTCTGCTCCCGTAAAAATTTTTCTTTTTCTAATGTTGATTTGCATGGCCTTTTTGCTTTACTTCTTAATTTAATATATGTATCAGACTGTATTCCCAACAGAGTGTCAACAAGAATAAAAATATTTGGATGCCCCGAATGAAAAAAAGCATTTAATTTTAAGTGAAAACTTTCACAACTATTAGTGGTTCGATTTGCTGTCGCTGAAAAATCACTCCAAACATTGGGGGGAAACTGTGCAAAATCATTGTCAATATAATTATTTAAAATGTAATCAGTGAAATTGTGAAATTATCAATTCTTTCGTCATCACACGGTTTTATTGCCATCAAATCTTCCGTAAACATTGAATTACGTCAGTTTCATTTAAAAATGGTAATCCGAAAAAATACTTTAGATATTTGCTTTTTTCTGAATCAGACTTGTATTCGTTAGACAGACCTAACCTCTGTATTGCACGCCACCAGCTTTGACAAAAATGGAATCGACACCCTTTAATTCGAACATCGGTCCAGACTTGTTTGATTGCGTTGTGGATTCCATTTTCAAAATCAACATAAATTTCTGAAGGGTGAAATGTTAAGCTTAGCGATCTACAATAATTAATAATATGTTGAAAAGCTTTAGCATAAATATTCGACTCTTTTGTGGGCAACAGCAAAAACACAAGAGGAACATATGAATCTTTATAGAAACCGTGAATCGTAAAAATTTGAGTAAAAAATTTAGGACAGCTCTTAAACGTCCCGTCAATATATATATATCCTTTACATCACACAAAACATCTAAATTTATTTTTGTTGAAAAACCTACTATCGAATTTTCGAAATCATTCAAAAATATAAAGTTTTCGTCTTTATTTGTCATAATATTCATCGATTGCAATGCATTTTGAGTTTCGTGTATACTTTTCGGTAATTTTGGATGAAGCAATGAACGAGCATAGTGAATATTCTGTTTGATTAAAGTAACGTCGTTTGTTGTGAGAGTTGAAATGTCACCATTTTTAAACTCATTATGTAAAATTTTCGATGGCTGAGCAGAAATATCATCCACAGCTTTTCTTTTAACAGCGTTACTAATTTTCTGTCTAGTAAGTACTTGTTCGTCACACTTATCATGATTATGTTCATTGTAGATATCTGATAAAACATTATTAGGGGTTAATTTAAAAAAACACTTACACGAGTTTTTACAACATGTCCACCGTTGAACCTCGCCTTGCAACATTTTATGAAATCGAAATTTGAACCCTTCAATAATTCTGATTTCTTTTTGTTTTTCACTGAGCATACACTCCATTTTTCACTGGTAATAATTTAACTTAAGGTTATTTAAAAGTAAATATTGTGTGTTCACAACGAATTATTTGATACAACTGATTGTGAATATCCGTTGTCGTTGTATATCCGATACTACGCTATAATATGATGTGCAAAGTTCAAGATTGCAACCAGTAGGTAGTTATAACATTTTATCTATACGGACTCAATTCAAAGATATTAAGATAATAAGCTGGACTTAATTCAAACACATAAAAGTAGCACGGACTCAATTCAATATCATCGCGTAGTCCGTTTGGTCGTGCAGCCCGGAGGCGCAGGACTAGAATGCGAGCTGTGAGCTGGTCGAGGGCGGTACTTGTGTTCGTGTTTAGAGTCGTTACCAGAGAGAGCGAGTCGAGGCTGGCACTCAACGACGTCCGTGGAGACGACTCTACATGACTGACGCGTGTCAGTGTCGCTAACCGCAACAGGGGGACCGTTGAGAGGGAGTATTTTGGTGATGGCTCACCACAGTTCTATGGTATAACATATTTTATTATTTATATAAGTAGGTATGTTTATTATTAATAATAAATATTTTTTTACATTAGACGATCCCATATAATCATAGAATAATATAGAAGCTAAACTCGATCAGCTGATGGGTGAAGTGTTTACCTACGATCTGAACTCCGAACAATGAAACTGTTTCCGTACACCAACATGATTTTTTATACCCATATTGAAAAACCGTTTCCCTAAACATAGGCGGGATACGCTAAGCGGGGTCGGTTTGTTTACCATTCCCTATTTCACGTATGTCACGCAACCCTAGAAACCATTTTCAAGGCCACAATCACCCGATTTGGCCAATTCACGGAGTTTCATACCCCTGATATAATGGACTGGAAACGACTAGTGGGTGACGGGGACGGCCCGCAAAAGATTCCTCTGTTATCATCAACACTCATAATTTAATGTTTTTAGCGCTACCGGTTATTTTATTTAGCGTCACGTTTTGTATCTCAGTTCGTGTTTTATACAGATGGCGTTGTAAACTATCAATTATGATTGTGATTCCCCGCATTTGCCTCTTGTACATACTTTCAAGGCCACTGATAAGCCGCTCGTTTCCAGTCCATTATATCTTAATCCGTGGTCTATCCTAAAAAAAAAATATACCCTCAGTATATCTTAATCAAAAAAAGTTTGGCTTTTTGGCTGCCCCTGGTATAACATAACAATTTTTATTAGTTTTTATTTTAACCGATATGGACGCTATATGGGGAAACAGTCGAAAATCACGTGATTTAAATCGTATGCCGTGTGATAACATTATTCTGATGGGTCGTTAGGCAACCATACTATCTTAAAGCGTCCCCTATAACAGCTTTACTTACAAAGTGACTATATATAGCATCTGTAAAAAATAACCACTTGCACTTAATGACAACATTGAAAAATAGAACAATACACACGGACTAAGAAGACTGGAAACGATCAAATTTTTAATGGGTCCGAAGTGCCTCTGCTGATTTCCGTAGTACATAGCTGATTTTAACGCTACCTAGTGGCTGGATGGAAAATTTATTGATGATAAGAATGAAAATGATAAAAATCAATGAAAAATCTAAATCCAAGTAGCCACATTTTATGACGGACGGAAGAACTTTGTCGCTTATCTATTACTCTTATGCTAAAAATGTATAGAACCTTTCTTGCCACAAATGTTACGATATTCAATTTTTATAAAGCTATTTTTACAGTTAAGTTAATAATTTTAGAAATATTGTAAAAAACCATAAAAAAGTTAAAAATTTCACCTAAAATACAAGATGGTAGACGGTTGAGGACCTTGGAAGGATGGCGCATTTTTTTTGATCAATCTGTACCCCAAGATGAAACTTTTCGCCAAGTTTCAGAACTTAAGTATTTTTTGCAAGGCAACGCCTTTTTCTTAGCCCTATTGACTACAAATAGATATTTATTATCACAGTTGTAATAATTTTCTTCAGTATGAGTATCTCCTTAACCTCCAGCCCATGTCGTAGTTCTTCACTTCTGATTGGATGATTTTTTTCTATGTCATATTTGTAAGTATATGATTGACAGTCAATAAGAAGTGATACTTCGATATAGGATTTTTAGAGGACCTTCAAAAAACTTTAATTAGACCTAATAATTTGTAATCATATTGTATATCTGGTAAATAGTTTAAAATTAAACCACTATTCGCACTATTCCACTATTAAGGTTCTATTACATATGGTATTTACCAGACATTTAAGAGTCCTACTCTCTTTATACCTCTGACAGTGTTGGGTAGTAACACTAATAACTTAACGAAAATTACAAATCACTGAAATTAAATTACTTTTGCAGTAACGTTGCAGTAGTATAATTATATTTTATTGTAAAAGTAATTTTTATGGAGTAACGTGTTATTTTCCACGTTACCTATTAAAATAAGTTATGAATATAGA